CTCCGAAAAGGTGAAAAACTGGAAAACGAAATTCTGCCGAAGACACTGTCTTCAGTTCTTGGCTGTACGCGTATTTAGTGCAAAGTCTTCATGACTTCCTTTTAGAGTCACTCAAACAATCAAAATTGATTTGACGGGTGCTGTCAAACGTCCTGGAGGAGCAATGTGAGTATAGTTTTCATAAAATTGTTTTTCTATCTATCTTTTTTTCTTATAGTGATGGGCCGGATGCAAAACGACCTCTGCAAATTGTCAGCGTCATTGATGAAGAAATTCCCCGACCGCCCGAACCGTAAGTACACCTCTCCATTCATTGATTGAATCGATTTTAGGAGTAGTACGGAGTGTCTATCACTGTCATAGATGTGAAGGTATCCATTTCATTTTTTTCGATTGAGCTGGAATTTTTCGCGTCTTCGTGTTCTTTTTATAATTTTTTTTTCAAAATTTGACTATTTCCCTATTTGCATTTTTTCAGCGAGCTGCAACAGTTGTATGAGGAATACAATCTGTCGCGGCAACGATACACGTATTACCGCGAGCGCCTGCAGAAGGAGATCCAAGCGAAACGAAATGGCGTTCCAGGAGCCAGCTACATCTCCCCGTTTGCTTCGACACTGAGCACTTCAACCACACAGTACTGCATACTGCAAATTTACCTAGCTAGATAGCCGAGACAGGGACAGAAAAATAACTGCAGGAAGAATTTGCGCGGTTAGCATGCAACGCGGGAATGACGCATTTTCGATAATGATTGAGTCCATCGACGTTCTGAATACCCGTTCATCACCTTCCTTCCTTTTCATCAGTATCTTGCTACTCATTCCTGAGTTTTGACGTCATGCGAGGTCTCGATCTCAATTTCAAAGCGATTTTATCTTTGCATCGCCTTATCGTACAAGTGATCTTTACGCATTGCCGTTTCTTGTCTTCACTTCGTGGCGAGTTAGATGATTTCTCATTTTCTAAGATATTTCAGCCTACTTCCAGCTCTCAAAGGCAATGGCTCATGAATGACAGATTTGGGATATTCATCGTTCTCACAAGGGAATGGTCAGAAGTCGAAATGGGCAATCCAAACATGCTGCATACCATTAAATGCAGCATAAAACGCTGACTTCAA